CACGTTAGCTGCTTTCTAGGCTTCAAGGGTAATTGCTTGTCCTTAAGGACACTTGGGATGCTGTAGCACCTCCGGTGGCATCCTTCATCCATGCCAGCATCCCGTGGCACTGGGGAGCACCGAGCTAGCACAGTGCTCCTCAAAAAAGCCCATGGAAGTTGGTTTGACCTCAGTCTGGCTCCTTGACCCCTTGTGTTTCTCCATCATTTTTCTCCATTCCTTGGCTGTTGTGGTGCATTTGGGATGTTCGATGTTGCTCTTTGGGTTAGGCAGAGCCCAGGCCTGATGCTGGGAGATGGGCTGGCCTGGCAGCTGGAGGTACAAACCTGGTCCCTCAACCCCTTTCTCAAGGGTTATCCCACCATCCCAGCGTCCTTGCTCTCAGGTAGGAGCAGTTCCTTCTTAAGGCTGTGCCTCCAATCAGGAGCCAATGGGTCAATGAGGACCTTTGGGTGATGGGGTCTGTGGGGACACCTTGGGCTGGGGTTTGTGCTCTGACCCTGGAGTTGGGGGTTTGTTGCTGGAGGAGCTTTCAGCTGAGGTCAGATGCAGATGGTCGGGATAGATGCTGATCCTGGCCTGTGTGCCCGGCCCAAAATTCCTCTCTTCCTACCCACCCAAGGGCTATAAATAACAAAACCCAACAACTCCCAGGCTGCAGCTATTTGGGGTTTTGTGGGGTTTTTGGCTTTGTTTTGCTTTGTTGCATTTAGGAAGTGACTTTTCATAGAAACCCATTACTTTTTGGACCGGATTCCTCCTTGTCCCAGGGCTGAGCTGTTTATCCAGAGCTTTGCCCAGGTGAGCAGAGGGACACGGGGGCAAATGCGCTGGGTGGGATCCATCCCTGGGTGCTTCTCCTTCTCCTCCCGCCCTCCTTTTCCTTTCCCTCTGTATCCTAGGACCTGAAAAGGCTTCGGTGCATTAATTTCAGACTGAAGGTAAATAAGCCATTTGGATCTTTCCCAGTTGAGCAAACCTCCAAACCAGAGCTTTGCTTTCCTCTCCTCCGGCCTGGCTCGCGGGATTGGAAGGATTTGCCTCAGTGCTGTCTCTTCTGCACTTGAAACCACTTCATCAAGCTCTAAAATAACCCTGGAATAGGTCAGGCAGGCACCTGGCTGGGCCAGGCAGTGCGTACAGGAAAGGCAGGGGCGATCACACACTTGTTTTATCTGCATAAAGCAGATTAGAAAGCTCCCAAACGAAATATTGCTGCAAGGTAGCGTGTTGTTAATGGCAAACCCCTCTCTAGACTGTCTCTGTTGCTGTCTCCATCCGACGTTATCTCCTCCCTGACCAGCCATTCCTGAGGGATTAAGGGGAAAGGGAAGGGGGGACAGGAGAGCCTCGTGAGCTTCTCGGAGTCAGCAGGACTTGGGACCCGTGGTGTTAGGTTTGGATGTCTTGGGGCGGTTATGACGGCGGGATTTGGACTTTGTAAATGGGGAGAAGAGTCAGCAAACCTGCCCCGTGTGCATCTCCTGGGCCTGGCAACCAGGAGGCAAAGAAAGGAGCTCCACACCGTCTATCCCATTGCCTAATCCTTGTACCTCACAGCAGCCCTGTCATTTACCTGGCTTGTTGTGTTTAAAGGCCTTATTACTACCTCTGTTCTCATGAGCACGTGAGTCCTCTCCCTGCACCGTGTTGCCTTCCTTTCTCCCTGTGTTGCACAAGAGGTGGTGCAGAACGGGGGAGCAGAGACCTGGACCCTCATCCCAGGCTGTTTCTCCATCACAAGATGAGCTTTTGCCTGGCTGGGAAGGGGCTGGGGGTGCAGGTGGGAAAGGGGATGGATGTCGCATCCCAGGGGCCAGCTCTTCTTAGGGATTTGTCTGTGTTTTGCCTGGGCTTGTGGCTGGTTTTAAACCCGTCAGATTTAGGTCAAGCCTGGTCTTATTCTGGTGGCAGCAGGGGAGGGGAGAAGCCATTCCCTGCCCTGGAAGCAGAAGGAAAAGGGGACCTCCCCCGCCAGATCCCAGTGGTGTGGGGGACAGAGCTCACCCTCTGTGCTCAGCTCAGTGTGGTTTGGAGCAGAAAACCCCCACTGGGGGGCTTTGTGCCCCAAAGCAAGTGTTCAGAGGGGTGATGAGGGCACGCAGCCGAGGGGACAGAGGTATTTGCACAGGACCCTTGTGGAGCTGCACATCATGTGTCCGTCCTGGTCTGCATGGGGTGCCCCTCTGTCTGTCTCTCCTGGTGCCATCAGGATTGATGCCTGAGCGTTTCCATGTGCTTTTCCCTGTGGGCTGGAAAGTGCCTGGACCCTGCAGGGGTGATGCTGAGCCCATGTGTGTCCTGCTGCCCCCCAGCCCTGCCCCGGATCAGGATGCGACCATGAGGGCAGACACAGCCTTTCTCCAGCTCGTTCCCACGGGATGTTGTGCACTTGGGGGTCAGAGCCATCCGTCTGCTCCCCACGGCCAGGCAGCAGCAGGGAAGCAAGGACCAACTTCCCCACATTTCTTTCCTGTCTATTCTGGTCTCTCTTGTGGCCAGCTTGTTCCAGTGGGAGTTAATTTAATTGCCATCTTCCTCCCTGCATCGCTGCGGTTGTGTGTGAGACCTCTTGTGCAGGGTAATTGTATGTGTGAAGTGGACATGGCAAAACCGGAGCCTTGTCTTTAGCAGTCAGCTCGACATCCGTACTATCCGTGCTTCCACACGGAGCTCAGGGTCTGAACAGACCCTCCTTGTCCTCTGCCCCTCGGGAATGGGCTTGGAGTGGGCAAGGGATGTGGTCTTGGCTGTTGATGTGCAAGCCCTGAGCAACGCTCCGGGCATCCCACAGCTTAAACCGGAGCAGCTCCCAGCTGCACCAGTGCCCATCGGCTCAGATCCCTGCCCTGCACTGGGTACCCCTGCCCCAAGGTTTCATCCAGAGCTCCCCAGGTTTGCATTCTACTCTAACAGGCACCAAATGCCGCAGGTCTGACTCAGGCCGGTCCAGGTTGGGACATGACCGAGGACGAGGATGCAAAGCATGTGGTTATTATTCACCTGTACACCACGCCTGTGTGCAAACACCTAGAGGTGGAGGACAGCCTGCTTTCCTCTCCTCCCTGTTTTGCCCTGGGCTTTCCAGGGCCACGGGAATGAGTTTTCACCTTGCTGGGGTTGGGTGCTCCCCTTCTGCTTGGGGTTTGGAGTGGCTGTGCAGAATCCAGCTGGAGCTGCTGCATCTCCCTTCACTGAGCCCCAAAACCCCCTCGCCTGATGAGCTTTCAATCCCAGCTCTGACCTGGAGCTGGATCAGCATCACAGGGTGCACAGAAGGGATGGTCCTATGGGGAGACTGAGGCAGCCGGATGAGCATATGGGGTGTAGCAGAGCAAGCATCATTCCAGGCCGGTTACAGCCCTTCTGCAGCATGTCCAGGCTCCTGCTGACCCCGCCGTGGGGATGGAGCCCTCCACCTCCCTTGTAGGGCCTCTTGTTATAGCCCCTATAATTATAGGTGTGAGGTCTGCCTGCCTTCCCCCCCGGCTCCTGCTTGTAGGAGCTCTTGTTATATTGAGTATAATGAAGTGTCCGAGGTCTCTCTTCCCCCCACCCGCCCTTGCCTGTCTGTGTGTAGAACCTCTTGTTATAGACAGGGAAATTACGGGTCTTTGGGCTCCCTCCTTTTGCCCAAGCTATAATTTAGCTTTATATAAAGTGTGGTCCAGCCCCTGTTGTGCAAGCAGTTGCTATTCTGGGTGCTGGGGAGAGGGATGGGGCAGCGAGGAGGGGGCTTGTGGTGGGTAGGGGAACTTAGCATCGCACTGAGCACCCCACAGACCCCCTGCCACGGGGGGCAGACAGCCCCAGCCTGTAGTGCTGGCTCTGTGGGAGGTGGTTGTGCCTTCTCCTCCCTGGGTTTCTGTGTGGGGCTGTGTGGCATTGGGGTTTATCCCTGTGGGGAATAACACATCTCTTGTTTTGGGGTTTGCTTGCACAGGGGCAAGCAGCAACCAGGAACATGAGGGGAGCTGGTTCCTGCAAGGGAGACTCTTTTATGGGAAGGGGGGATGAAAAAATCCAGCCTGAACCGCCGAGTGTAACCAGATCCCTGGCTTTTTAGAGAAGGAATGTGGGACCTCGGCAGGGATTTTGGGAGGGTGCTGCCGAACTGTTGGCTTTGGCTGAAAAGCTGCAGGATGATGCAGTCCAAACCTCCAGCTCTTGCCCCCACTGTGTACTCTGGGCTTCAAAAGCCACAGGGGCAGAGGGGATGCGCTGCAGGTTGGGGATGCGCTGTGGGTTGGGGATGCGTGGGTTGGGGATGAGCTGTGGGTTGGGGATGCTCTGCGGGTTGGGGATGAGCTGTGGGTTGGGGATGCGCTGCGAGTTGGGGATGCTCCTTGGGTTGGGGATGCGCTGCGGGTTGGGGATGCGCTGCGGGTTGGGGATGCGCTGCGGGTTGGGGATGCTCCTTGGGTTGGGGATGCGTTGCAGGTTGGGGATGCTCCTTGGGCTGGGGATGCGCTGCGGGTTGGGGATGCTCCTTGGGTTGGGGATGCACTGTGGGTTGGGGATGCGTTGCAGGTTGGGGATGCTCCTTGGGCTGGGGATGCGCTGCGGGTTGGGGATGCTCCTTGGGTTGGGGATGAGCTGCAGGTTGGGGATGCGCTGCGAGTTGGGGATGCTCCTTGGGTTGGGGATGCGCTGTGGGTTGGGGATGCGTTGCAGGTTGGGGATGCGTTGCGGGTTGGGGATGTGCTGTGGGTTGGGGATGCTCTGTGGGTTGGGGATGCGTTGCAGGTTGGGGATGCCCTGCGGGTTGGGGATGTGCTGCGGGTTGGGGATGTGCTGTGGGTTGGGGATGTGCTGTGGGTTGGGGATGTGCTGTGGGTTGGGGATGCTCTGTGGGTTGGGGATGCGTTGCAGGTTGGGGATGCCCTGCGGGTTGGGGATGTGCTGCGGGTTGGGGATGCTCTGTGGGTTGGGGATGTGCTGTGGGTTGGGGATGCGTTGCAGGTTGGGGTGACTGGGGTCTTTGCTGGTTTCTCTTGCAGAGGCGGGTGAGACCTCGCACCCATCACCAAGGCAGACACCTGCGACACCAGCGACAGAGCCCCGGCCGCCCGCCCGGCCTGTGGCATCCAAGAAGGAGAAGCCCCTGGAAGATGATGAATCCGGAAAAGTCCTAACAAAGGGTCCCCGGGCCGAGCTCAAAGGCGCTCCCGAAGCTGTGACATGTGAGTGGTTCCCTCCGTGCAGCTCCGGACACCTCCGGGTGCCCGTGCTTTGGGGTGCTGCTGTCTATTTAGTAATAGGGCTCCTTAAAAAGGCAGGAGCTGTGGTGGGAGCCATCTCCTCCTCACTGTGCTCTTCCCCACATCAAAGCAATGGGCTTTAAGTGAGCCTGAGTCTCCTGGACCTGGGGAAAGTGAAGGGCGCATCCTGCAGTGCCCATGCCTCTCCTGCCCTCGCTCCTGGACCTGACTGGAGGGGGATGAGGGCGAGCGACTGGAGGAGCTCAGGGTCGTGTTAGGGTCCTGCTGGGATGCTGTGGTGGGAAGAGGGACCAATCCCTGGGGGAAAGAGCTGGCTGCTCTATGGAGCATCCCACAATCCACAGTGGGATTGAGGTGAGCTCCCAGCAGATCGGGCTCTGTGCTCACAGGAGCTGTTTGCTGGAGCAAAGGGAGATGCCTGTCATTGAGAAAGCTCTTGGCTTTGGCATTCCCAGGGCAAGGGTGAGGTGGTGCAAAGCCTGAAGGAGCAGGGGCAGGACCGTCTGCACTGAGGACTGGGGTTTGCTCCAGAGCTGCTGTGTCCTGATGTGAGAAATACCAGGGTGGGAGCAGAGGTGGGAGCCAGGGTGCCCTTGCTCTGTTTCCCATTGCAGGGAAGGGAAGGGAAGGGAAGCAGAGCTGGCAGATGTGGGAGCCTGGAGCCAGGCTCTCCTGGATCCGTCCATCCTTTCCCTGGCCCGCTGCCTGGATCTGAGGGTTTCGCTCCCAGGCTGCCCCTTACACACAGATCCATTCCCCTTCTCTTGGATGTGAGCGTGCAGCTTTCCCTTCCAAAGGGCGTAAAGTGAATGGATGCTTCCCAAAGGAGAGAGGGAGGGTGGGAATGAGGAGCAGGGTGGGAAGGGGAAGGGACGGTGAAATCCGGGTGCTCCTGGCGCATGTGGAACGAGGAGCGTGCACGTTCCCTCCACCAGAGCTCGAGCCCTTGCAGAGCATCTGGGAGCTGGGCCGGCTGCCCACAGACATTCTGCACCTCTGAGTCACGCTGCAGCCTGCTGCACCCTGCGTGGAGCAGCCCCGCACAGCCCCCTCCCAGCCCACCCCATGGCAGGAACGTGGCTGACCTTGGGCTTGCACTGGGTGCTGGGTGCAGGAAATGGGCCCTCTTCCTGGGAAATGAGGTTCAGCTCCCCAGGGAGCATCGCCTCCGGCATCCCTGGCTGTGCGACCTGCTCCTCACAGTGCTTCCTGCTGCTGCTATGGGGGGGTCACAACCACTTGTGGGGGGCAAAGCCCTTGCTTTAGCAGCACCTGGGGAGCGCAGTCAGGCTCCCCTAGGGGATGGTGAAGGGGGTAATGGTGGCATTTTCATGCAGGGTCAGGAGGGAGCTGGCAGCAAGGGTCACATCCATCACCAGTGATGCCAGGACCAGCTCCCCTGGGGCTCAGTGCTGCTGGTTGAAGCCTGCCACCGTTCAGTCCTCCAGCAGCTCGGGAGCATCCCAAGTGGGGATTGTGGGTTTGGGGCCTCTGAGTGTTGAGTTTCAGGCTCAGCTCAGGCAGCCACGGTGTTCAGTTTGTCCAAGGGAAGGCACCCTTGGGCAGAGCTGATGGCCGGGTGGGGGACCCAGTAGGGTGAGGACCGCTGCAGTGCGGGTGTTTGTCCACTGAGCCCTGGTGATGCTGCCACAGGGGCCTGAGCTGAGCCAGTGCTGGGGCTGTGCTGGGAGCATCACCTCGGGTGTGAAATACAAAAAGTGATGGTCCAGGGGGTGTTTGGTTGTTGAAGAACCACAGGCATGGGCATTCCCTCTGTTTTCCCACCTTGGTGCTGCTGGGTGGATGCGATGGGAGCCATTGGGTGGGCTAGGCCCCCGCTCCTGCCCTGACACCCGTGTTACCGCTCCACCTGAGGGTGGGGTTGAAGATGTCTCCTTTAGAGCTTTGGGTTCCTGTGAGCTGTAGGTGGTCCTAAAGAATGGAAGCTATTTTTCCTTAAGGGGGGGATTATCGGCTGCCTCCCGCTGCCACTCACTGGAGCCGGAGCATGATTGTGATTCACAACCAGTTTAGTTTGAGGAATGCAGTGAAATGGAGAATGCCAAAGCAAGCGAGTTGTGTGCTGCTGCACCCCCTGGGGAGACCAGGGCTGGGAGCCACAGGGTGCTTGGTGCCATCAGACACCAAACGGGTGTCCCTGGGGCCTCAGATCCTGCCCATGCGGCTCTGGGAGGTCACCCATCCAACCCGGTTCGGTGCACGCACTGGGGCACGGCAGGTTGAGGGCACTGGAGAAGGACGCACACTCCATGAGGTCCTTTTAAGGGGGAACACGTCCCGTTTTACCCAGGACCCGTTTTCCTTTCCTCTTCTCTGCCCTCCTGCTCTTCCCACTCAGCTCTGGTTATTTTAAGCCCCTTTCCCAGCGCACGCGTTTCCCCCAGGCACCCGGTTAAACCTTCCTCCGCGGTTGGAGCCCCGCTGGCTCTGGCAGAGCCGGGCACTGAGTGCAGGCACTTGTGTTTTCTTAACCTCCATCTCTTCTATTTTCACCACTGTCTGTGTTCCCTCCACCCCCCCGCCGTGCCCCATGGCCACCCTTGCCCAGAAATCAGCTCCTGTTCCCAGTGGCCGGAGGTGCCTTTGCCCTCGAGCCTCCAGCCTGAATCATCCCTTGTTTACTGCTGCGGGAAAGGAAAGGCAAAGTTTGGCCAAAGCACCATCAAGAGAGGTTTTAGTTGTGGCTTCCATTGGTGTTGCTGCACAGGGGCTGGATGCTGAAGCCCTCTCCTCGCTCCCGGTGCTCTCCATCGCTGGGATGCAGGGAGAAGGCCCCGGCAGTGATTGAGGGCTGGAGGGAGATGCAGACACTGCAGATGGTTGTTTTCCTCCTCCTGCAGAGAAGTTCAGCCAGAGGCTGGGGAGACCTTCAGTGAAGTGGCCAATTCATGCAGTGCTGGGGAAGGGAGCAGCCTGGCTCTCTGGTGGTGCTTCATCTTCCCTGGCTGCAGGAGGGTGATGGGGATGGCCAGGAGCTGCATCCAGCAGCGCCGTGCCCAGGGCTTGTGGGATGGTGGCTTGGCCACGGGGGTGGCTCTCAGCTGGAAGCAGCCACAGGCTCTTCCCTTACCCACTTGGCACAAGGGGAGCATGCCTTGATGTGTCTCTGTGCCCACTCTGGTTGGCCTCGGTGGCTTCATCTCTTCTGCTTCATCCCTCCCAGGGTCCAGCAGCGCTTGGACGCCAGGAGACCTCCTCCTCCAAGTCATCTGCTGCGTTTGGGCAGTTGCAGCATGTCCTTCACAACAAGGCTTTATCTCCTGCTCTTTTTTCATCCCTTCCTCTCTCTGGAGCCTCTGTCTCCTACCTCCAGCCATATCTTCTGCACCTCTATTCCATCTCCATCTGTCAGCATCACTTCTTCCCAGCCATGGCAGGGGACCAGGCACATGAATCACTGCAGGGGTCTGGGGGTAACATCCTGCTCTCCCCCCAGGCCAGCCCCAGGTACGAGCAGCCCCGCAGCCCCCCAGCACCCACCTGCTGCAGAACGGTGCAGGGAAGGGGCCGGATCCAGGTGGTGCCAACGGGGAGACCGGGAACGGGATCTTCCGTCCCCTGCCCAGCACCCAGAAGCCTCACCGAAAGCTGCAGACGCACCACTCCATCAACAGCCAGAGCAGCAAGAAGAGCAAGGGCAGCTCCAAGTCTGCCTCTTCTCACATCCCTATTGAGGCACAAGAAGGTACCAGCAATCCCCAGCGTGGGGTAGGGGGCTTTACAGACATCCTTCCTCTTCTGGCCCTGCATCGTGTTTGGGAAGTCTCATGAAGCATCCTTCCATCCCACTGGGACCCCTGGAGCTGCCCTCCTGGCAGCCTTCTGCAGAGCAGGGTCCTCATGTCCTCCAGAGCTGGTCTCCCTTGGGGTCTGGGCATGTCCGTGGATGTCGAGGGGAGGACCCTGGAGCACTGCCCGCTTCCCAGCCCCTCTTCCCCATCCCTTCCATTAATTCCTGAGGGAGGGTTTCCACCCTTACAGAGCGGAGCATCCACTGTGCTGGATGCTGCATCCCCTTCCCGTCCCCCCCTGCTCCCTCTCTGTCCCTTCCTTTGCAGACTGCTGCGTCCACTGCATCCTCTCCTGCCTCTTCTGCGAGTTCCTGACCCTGTGCAACATCGTGCTGGACTGTGCCACGTGCGGCTCCTGCACCTCCGAGGACTCCTGCATCTGCTGCTGCTGCTGCAACTCGGGCGAGTGCGCCGACTGCGACCTGCCCTGCGACATGGACTGCGGCATCATCGACGCCTGCTGCGAGTCTGCCGACTGCCTGGAGATCTGCATGGAGTGCTGCGGGCTCTGCTTCTCCTCCTGAGGCGCTGCACAGGCCGAGGGCGGGGGGGGACCAGGAGCTGATCCCTCCCCAGGCTCTCCTTTAGCGGCCAAGGAGGGTCCCATCGGCTCCCTGCGCCGGTGTGAACTGCTGAGTGATGGAGGAGAGCGGTACCCCCATTGCAAACCTCATCCTGGGAGCTGGTGAGCCGGGCTCGGGTCCTGCCTAGGGAAGGGTGAATCCATAGGGCCATGGGGGCTCTGGAGATGGGCCGGTGTCCCATCACGCTCTACCTCTTCCCTGCACTGGGCTGGTTCATGAGGATCAATGGAGCCTCCTGCCACCTGAGCCAAGACAGGAGCATACACCCCACAGAGCCCCCCCGGCACTGGGGACAGTGTGTCCTGCTGCCACCACCCCAGGACAGTGCTCTGGGTGTGTTACATGGGGCAGCACGGAGCATCCTCCCCATAGGGACACCTCCAGGCCAGAGAGCCTTGCTCCCCACCAGGCACCGGGAGATGCTGAATGCCTGCGGCCAGGCTGTGGACCTGGTGCCATTGAACGCATCCTGCCAGCCCCTGCCCCTCCTTGGTGCCGAGATTGCAGCCAAGTGCAATATGCTCCATCTGCTCCCCATCAACAGCAGCTTCCCCTTTGCTGGTCCCTGCAGCAGGGGGCTTGGGGAGATCCTGGAGCCGTGCCGAGATGCTGCTGTGTCTGGGGGGGGGGGGTAGGACAAGGGGGTTTGGTTGGTGCCGAGTGACCCCCAGCACTTGCTGGTTGCATCTGGACAGCCAGGGGCCAGGGCTGGTGGCTGGAAGGGGATGGGAAAGGCCCCGTTGAAGGGCTGGGGAGAAGGGGAGGGAAGTGTCACGGTGTTTTATTTCATCCCTTTTGTTTGTTACTGTAAATAAAGGTCTGTCTTCATTTCTGCCCAACAGCTGCCCCATCGCATGCTCTGCAGCTGCACCATGTGTCCTCCATCCCTGTGCTTGCCCCCTATCCTGGTCCCAGCTTCAGGCAGGGGCAGGCTGCAGGACTCCTTTGGCTTTGGGAACATGCTTGGGACAGCTCAGTGAGAGCCCCAGGGTGTTCCTGCTTTGGGAGACGTAGGAGGACCCCTGTCCTTCAATGGGGAGCAGGTCCAGGTCCTTGCTCTGCTCCTGTAGCCATAGGACAAACTGCTGCACCACATCCCCTGCAGCCAGAGGAGCTGCTCCATCCCCAGGGCCAGGACATCCCTATAGGACAGATAAACGATGCAAATTCCCAACTGCAGGACCCTTTGGAATTTGGGTGGCCTCAGTGCTCCTGCTGCCTCCCAGCCCTGCGTGTGGGACCAACTGTGCCATGCAGGTAAGGGACCGTGTCCCTCCCACCCCAGCCTCGGATGAAGCTGAACAAGGAGGGAAAAACGCTTCAAAACCGAGGCCAAATGGGTCAGTTGGTCATGGTGACAGGGGCCGGTTGGGCTGCGGGCTGCCTGCCCTCCGGTGCTGCTGCACAGCCCTGGATCCTAGTTTTAGTGGTGAGCTAAAGGCACTTGGAGCAGTGCATGGAGAGGAAGAGGCTGTGCAGGCAGCCTTCCTCCGCCCTGTGCCTGGTGGGGTGGTGGATCAGGGTGTTTAGCCTCAGAGGTGGGATGCCCGTCACTGCCCATCCCAGGATGGATGGGACCAGGGCCCCATCAGGCACTCACGAGGTCGGTGGGAGCTTTTCCACAGGCTCTGCTCCAAAGTGTTTGCATCCTTGGCAAGGAGGGATGGAGGCGCTGGCCTTCCCCAGCCTGGCCTCACTTGTGCTGCTAATTGGGGAGGTTGGAGCTGGCAGGGCTGCTCTCCCCACCAGCCGCAATGAGGAGCGATGCTGGAGTTGCTTAATGGGGAACAGATTCCCAGCTTCCCTGTGCGGGAGGGCTCTGCGAGCTGGCTGGGCTGTGCCGTGTGTGCTTGTGTCCCAGTGTGCATGGGAAGGGGGTCACACATGCCCCCCCCAAGCACCCAGCAGCTTGAAACCCATGGGTAAGGGGGAGGCAGGGACCAGAGTTGGGCTCCTCACACGATGCGCTGCGGGATGGATGTGATACTCACGCCTACAAATGTACTTTGGGCTGCTGCTAACGAATGCAACTCGAGCAGCCTGTGCAGAGCTACCCAAAAGCCCAGCTCAGCCCTGCAGAGTGGTGGTTCTGGGATGTGGGAATGACGGACCAGAGCAGGGAATGATGGACCAGAGCAGCTCAAGTCCCTGGAAAGAGCTTGAAAATCAAAGTTCAAGCCTTCCTCTGGATGCCAGCTGATGCTGGCCGTCCACCTTGCAACCCACAGGGGAAGGCAAGAGTTAAACCCTCCTGCCTGGCAATTAATTAACAACACATGTGCTGGGTTTTAACTAATTACTCTCCTGCCAGCACTTGGTTTTTATGGTCCTCTCAGAGCTGGGAGCTCTAGCACCGTGCCCATGTGGATGCTGGCCCCACGGCCTGGGCTTTACTGGGCACCCTGGGCCCTTACTTCCCTTAGTTGCTGTCTAAAGTGAAACAATGCCATGGAACAGGCTAAAATTCATTAAAAGGACCACTCAGCTAACCTAGCCCTGCTCCATGGTGGTGGGGTCCCCCAGCAGTGACACACACCCACCTGCCCAGGTAAGCAGTGCATGAGCCCAGTTGTCCAATGCAATTAATTATGGATGGGGCATTCAGTGTATTAATGACTTATTGTCTGATTGCTAACGGGCTGCCAGGGCTGCACATTCCTGGGGCTCCCATGCTGAGCATGTCTAGGGATGTAGCCAGCAAGATGCACATCACAGGGCTTGGAAACTATGAGGGAGCCGTGGTGGGCAGGTGAGGAGCCCTCCAGCTCCAGGGCTGGCTCAGCCCCATGGCCAGGAGGTGTCTGGGCACCTCTTGCTGCCGGAGGATGCTGTATGGGATGAGCCCCACGTTGGAGCAGCCTCTGCTCCTGCAGCCGGGAATGCTTTCAGCAGCCTGAGCTATTTCTGTCCGCAATCGTGATCAATAAAGCGAGAGAGAGGATTTTTATTTTCCACTCCAAATACTTTCTTCATCCTGTTTCCTCCCAGTTCACACGGCAGGATGGGGTGCGCTCCAGCAAGGAGGCCCATGGAGCCCCCTCCTTCTCCTCACTGCCGACGCAGTCCCCTGCCCCAGCCCCATACAGCCCCGATGGTCCCCCCTAATTCACTGCAATCCAAGGGGCAGGGTTTGCTGGAGACGGGGAAGGGGGGGAAGAGAAAGCCATTGCACACGTGCATGTGTGCACACACGCAAGAAAACACAGCCGGAGCCAAAGGGAAAACGCTAAAAGCAAGCCTTGGAAGACGCAGCGGCTCGTGTAATCCCAGGGTCTGCTGGGCTGCAATGGGGGGGACGGCCGAGGGGAGACAACTGCAGTCTATTAAACTTCCTTTGAGAACCTGCCAGCCTGACAGCAGCTGGAAGGAATTAACATTTCAGGTCCACCAGCTCCTCGCCTCGCTTTCACCCTGCCCCAAAAACCAGCTTGAGGCCACAGGCACCATTTTTTCCCACTCCTCCGTGTCTGACATTACCTGGTCCAGGCTGATGCTGTCTTTGACCCCGACCGCGAGCAGCGCAAGCACCCAAGTGTGGGTCCCTTGGGTGTTGGGGTGTCTGCAAGGTGGCCTCAAGCCATCTGCACGAGAGACAGGAAGGGAAAACCTTCAAGAGAATCAAGGAAGGAAAAACCCACCCCGGCTTCTGCTCCAGGCAGAAGGGCCCTGATGGGGGGGACCCACACCCCGGCCATGGGGATGCTGCCAGCCCGTACATGGGCCCGTCTGCTCCATGCAGAGGAGGCTTTGGCAGGAGCTGGTGGGGAGTGGGATGGGGGAGCAGCCCCCAGAAGAGATTACACAGAGAGCTGTGGTGTCCCACAGGGAGGGGGTGCAGGAGCCGTGAGCAATTGGCAAATGCAGGAGGGGTTCTGCTGCCAAACGGCAACGTGCCTGAAAGCACAGGCTCCTCCAGCCAGCCTCGGGGCCGGGACCCAGGCGGAGAGCAGAGCTCCCTGCTCTGCCTTGCTACCAAGTTGGAGGAGGAAAACGCAGGAAGGCTCGGGTTAACCCTCTGCTGGGGAGGAGCAGAGAGGGCTTTGCCCCCGAAGAGACACCAAGACCCCAGGGCTACAAGCCAGGATGCACAGGACAATCTGTATGTACTCATAGGCACATATATCCAGGGACCACCACTCCATGCAACCCTTCAACCTCCTGCCTCAAAGGCAGAGGAACAAGGTGGAAGCCCAGCTGTAGGAGAGCATGGGCCCCATCTCACCTCGGTGGGTATTTTCCCTTGCCTAAGAGCATCCTGGAGCTCAGCATCACCCAGGGACCCAGGCAAAGGGGACTCTGCATCCCAAGCAGTGCCTGGGCTCCGGGCTGGAAGGAGCAGGTCGACTGGGATGTGTGGGGAGCAGATGACTTTCCCAGCGTCGGAGAGGTTAGGAAAACAAGAGGGAGAATCAGGCACTTCGGAAGGGTTGGTGGTGGGCTCAGTGTGTGGTCCGGCCGTGTGGGGAGGGCACAGCTCAGGCACACCTGGGCTGGGGCATGGGAAAGCTGGCTCCTGGTCCAGCAGCACCGTGCTTCAGTGCATCACCATGACCAGGGTTAATGACACCCAATGAGCCTCACACTGGGTTCTGGGCCCTCTGTGTGTGCTGAGCTGGGCCCTGAACCAGGAAACATCACTAAGAATAATGAGTGACTTCCTGGAGAAGAGAAGCTGTGTGGAGACCTCATAGCAGCCTTCCAGTATCTGAAGGGCGGCTATAGGGGTGCTGGGGAGGGACTCTTCATTAGGGACTGTAGTGACAGGACAAGGGGTAACGGGTTAAAACTTAAACAGGGGAAGTTTAGGTTGGATCTAAGGAGGAAATTCTTTCCTGTTATGGTGGTGAGGCACTGGAATGGGTTGCCCAGGGAGGTTGTGAATGCTCCATCCCTGGCAGTGTTCAAGACCAGGCTGGACAAGGCCTTGGGTGATATGATTTAGCGTAAGGTGTCCCTGCCCACAGCAGGGGGGTTGGAACTGGATGATCTTAAGATCCTTTCCAACCCTAATCTATGATTCTATGATTTTGGGTTTAATAATATTTCCTATGCCTTCAGCACCTTTATGTGTTTCATCCATGAGTAGCTGATATAGAATCATCAAATCATATAATGGTTCGGGTTGGAAAGCACCTTAAGATCATCTAATTCCAACCCCCAAACCCGTCTTGAACCCCATCAGCTCAAGAATCTCCTTTTTTCCCGCTAACAAAAGCCATTGCATGGGTGTCTTTCAAGTGTCACCTCCTCCCTCTTGGGCACATGCTGAAGCTGGTGCACGATGCCAAAAGCTGGTGTGCAACGCCAAAGGCTGGTGTGCAACGCCGAGGGCTGAGCCACCCCATCAGCACAGGGATACCTGCCTTGCAGAGCACGCAGCGCCTTTTCCATGCGGCTCGTCAGGAAGAGGTGCCTCATAAACCCAAATAGCGATTTCCTGCTGCAGTCGGTGGGAGTTGTTTGCTTTCAAAATGCAGCTGAAACCGGAGAGGAGATGGAGTGAGCTTAAATATCTGGGAGCTGGGGAGTTTGCTGTGTGTGAGACAGCGCCAGCAGCCAACACACACACACACGCTCCCGCACCCGCCAGGGATGCCAGCATTTGAAAGCCATTAATGGGAATATTTGGGGAGGAAACTCCAGCCCTACCTTTAACCCCCCCCACAGCAAAGCGCTGAGCAGCCCCCGTGAGTTATAGAGTGAAAGAAGTGGCACCGTTTTCCTTTTCATTCCAAAGCCCTCGTCCCTGCTCCGCAGGGAAAGTTGGCCCAGGTCGTGCACACGTGCGGGACGGGGCAAACAGGCACTCACCTCCCAGGCTTTAATTCACTCCT